CATTTCGTGTGAAATATTTAAAGAGATCTTAGAATGTGTTCAGTATTTGCATGAAAATAATTTCATTCACCGAGACCTCAAACCCGACAATATATTAATCGCCGACAATATACTGAACGGACGATTCGTAAAGTTATGTGATTTCGGTTTAGTTACAGAACACGATAATAGCGTTCATTATATAACTGCTTACAAACACACGGCAGACGTGGGAACCATGAAATATATCGCACCAGAAATAGCATCAGGTAAAAAATATGATCATAAATCTGATATACATAGCTTGGCCCTGGTAGCTAGCGACATATTCGAGATTGATGTGTTTAAAGATTGGGACAGGTATATACAGTATTATTTTTTAGATATTAAATATTTAAACATATGAAAATTAATATTTTTTATATTTTAGTGACTTTCGATATTCAACTATAAATACAAATTTAAATGAGCCAGTATATTTGTTGAAAAAACTTTTAGACGACATGTTGGCCCATAAATGGCATAATAGACCGGAATGTGCGGAAGTGTTGGCTAAATATAACGAGTGGTCTATCGATAGGAATATTCTGTTAAATGATTCACAATTTGATAACACATTAGATAGTATTCATAAGATTGAGACTCAGATTAGGGAAAGGGATGTGAGTGAGAGAGACAAACAATACATTAATGACACTCTCGATAGAAACTATTATGGCGTACAGAATGGAAAACCGTTTTTTAAAAGTTATTTGTCTTGTATTTCAAGGAAATAATTTTAATTTTTTATTTAATACTATATCTATAATACAATATATTTTCAATTATATTAAGCAAGCAAGATTATAAATTATCAACATGAAGTACAGTGCTAACGATTAAGCTTGATATTTATTTATTTAAGTGTTGTAATATTGTAATGAAGCATTTGTGGTGATCAATATGATAAAGCATTATTAATTAATAAGTTAATCAATAAAATTATTAACTATATAAACGTCAAAGCATCTATTAAAATAATTATTATACGTAAATAAAGTAATTATAAAAAGCAAACATTAAAATTAAATTATATAACAATTTGATCCACCTTACTCAATAAAAATCTAATATTGTATAATAGTTTTCACATTATGACCTCACTCACTTTTGTCGTGACCTCTCTCATCA